GCCCCCCCCTCGGCCGGCGAGGGTTAAAACTAACAGCACTCCTAATTGCAAAACCACTGTCTCAACTATTTAACAAATCATTATCAATAGGCATTTATCCAGACGAGCTAAAAAAGGCGAACATCAAACCAATTTTCAAAAATAAAGGGTCCCCTTCTGATCCAACTTGCTACCGGCCCATAAGCATAATATCAGCCATTTCTAAAATTTTCGAAAAAATTGTATACAGGCAAATTTACGGACACATTACAGAACACGACCTTTTGACAGATAAACAAAGTGGCTACCGCAAAAATCATGGCACCGAACTTCAACTTCATTACTTAACACACAACCTATATAAAGCTTTAGATACCGGACAAGACTTCACGGCAATATACCTAGACATCTCGAAATATTTTGACAAGATCTGGCATAAAGGATTACTATATAAATGCGAAAATGAATTCGGAATTTCAGGAACACTTCTCCACTGGCTAAAATCTTACCTTAGTAACAGATTACAACGAGTACAAATTCGAAATTCCTTTTCTCAGCAACGCAAAATTAACGCAGGATGCCCCCAGGGATCGGTACTTGGACCTCTTCTAGCACTAATTTATCTAAACGATCTATCAAAACGCACATACAACGACATTTTATTATTCGCAGACGACACCTCTTTATATGCCTCCCACTCACCAGACACACTACAAAACACCCAAACGACCTTACAAAGAGACTTAGACGAAATTTACAAATACGGACAAGACTGGGCCATTTCATTCAATTCAGCAAAAACTAGTCAACAAACATTCTCACTTAAAAAGTCACACCGACAGCCGACACTTCATTTTGCTGACACTCCTATACCGAAAGATGAGACTCATAAACACCTTGGACTGACGTTTTCTTACGATCTCCGATTCCACGAACATGTAAACGAAATTATAAGCAAAGTAAACAAAAATACCAGCCCATTATATTCAATTGCAAAATATCTTCCTCGACATATCCTAGAACAAATTTACAAAACGTACATTTTACCTCTTTTTGACTATTGCGACACCGTGTACGACGGACATATCACTTTAAGAGACATTTCTAGACTGGAGACGTTACAAAACAGAATAGCGAGACTAACGACTGGGACCCTGTTTAGAACACCATCTGACAAACTACGCACCGAATTAGGATGGGACAAATTGACAACCAGAAGACAAACACATCGGTTGACACTCTATCACAAATTAAGTAGACCTGATAACCACAATATTCCAAATTATATCTCAACTATCATCCCACGTACACGACAATATGACATAAACATGACACTTCGAAACGCTAGACACCATACTTTAGCTCGAACCTGGACAACAACACATCAACGCTCCTTCTTTACTCTCACAGCAAAACAATGGAATACACTGCCAGAGACCACAAAGCAATTGCCCCTCTCAGACTTCAACAAGTGGATCAAAAAACATTATTCGGCATCCAAACCACCCACATATTATTCACACGGAAGCAAAAATCTAAACATTCTTCACACCAGACTAAGGACTAACATGACACAGTTAAATTCTCATTTATACAAAATTCAGAAAACTGACTCTCCAGCTTGTCTGTGCGGTTTCCCCCAAGAAAGCACAGCACACTTTATTTTCTCATGCCCATTATACACACGACAAAGAGACGAAATGAACCAAAATATATCCCGAAGCCTACAATCCAACTTTACACTTCAACCTAAAACCATCCAACTGGAAATCCTCCTGCACGGCTCAGGCCTCGACGGTGTCGGCGGTCGGGCGGTGGCACGCCACTTCCAAAAATTTATACAAGATACTCACAGATTCTCATGCGTTTTCTAACTTCACCCGGGGACCCGGCCGGGCGCGGCCTCCTGGCGGGGCGTGCGGGGGCGGTGCGCTGCGGGCGGTGGCCAGCGACGTGGCGGCGGTCGAGCGAACTTCTGACTGAGCGTATGTTCGAAGTATGAGAGATGATGAATGTGTTCAGGCGTGTATGTATGTATGTATGTATGTTTGTATGTATGTGTATGTATGTATGTTTGCATGTATGTGTGTCTGCGCTAGTATCGATACATATTTCCGGTGCACTGCATCACGAGAGTTGGCACCGAGACTTAAGCCCTTTGGCTTTTGTGCCTCCTCTTATTTTACTATATATTATGCGTTTAATTTGTATTACCAATAAACAGTTGATGATGATGATGATGACCTCTTTTTCGAAAATGTGCGAATTTTGATGTTTTTATTGTATTTTTCTTTATGATCTACGGAAGAGAGAAATGCTGATTTTGCTACAATTGATGGAACAATAAACCGATATCTGCTTCCTACTGGGGTATGAAAGTATGAGGGATTTCCCAGCCCTGCTCGCGAGTGGTGGTATATTTTTTGGTCCTAGGTCAACATTTGACCTACTTATGACCGGTCAAAAGTAAAATTTTCGGAAAAATCTAACTTTTTTCAGATTTCCGCGCCGATTGCGGCAAAACGGTAAGAGATATCAACTTGAAACCTTCACTATCGTGATCCTTGATCAATTCTCTATCGTTTGGTGTGTATTTCAATCTCATAACTCTAAAAATGATGCGTTGGGAGCATCGGAAGTCTACAAGGTCAATTGTGCATTGGGTCACGTCAGGCGTGTGACGTCACTGACCTGACCCTGACCCAAAATGAACTACAAGAAACAACCGACGATGCCAAAAATGGATAGCAAATTCGAATTCAGGGCATCAAAATACCCGGAAAAGGCATACAAGTGCAAAAAGTCATAACAGGTCAACCGAGGTCACTGACCTTACCTTGACCTTAAGTAACCTTCAAAATGTCAACGGACATTGTGCCAATGTCAAATCAGCCAGTTGTGATTCTAAAACAATCCATCGGTGGGTCAGGTCAGTCGGCATTTATACCAATGTGAAGCAATCTCCAATTTAGCGTAAATCTGGCCGGAGGTTGTTCCCTTTATGACGTCATAACTCCGTGACCTGACATGACCCTGACAAAAAATACCAAAAGCTGCGCAAAGGATGCCCCAGAGGGTACTGAAAATTTGAGCAGGCTATCTGAAACGGTTCGGCGTGTAGCTAAGAAAGACCTCAGGGGGGGGGGGCAGTGCTGGAAATGAGGCCGCTTTCTGATCCCGGCGTTTTATTCTCCGGGTGGGTTACCCCCATCTAGCGCTTAGCCTTTCGGGACCCTCTCAGGTTCGCGGCTGTTTTTCACCGCTCGGCTCATTCAAGATGCAAAGTTGACACTCCCACGAAGTTCATTTGGGGCATCTTAATATACGACTCCGAAATTAATCGATTCTACAAAACCTTTTTCTTTCATCAATATGTATACATTTAACAGTAACTCCAGACTAGGCTGGTTTGGCTGGCCCTAAATAAGCTTCGTTTGACTATTAACTTTGCATCTCGACTGGGGCGAGCGGCGAAAACAACCGCGACCCTGAGTGGGTCCCGAAAGGCTGAGCGCTAGATGGTGGTAACCCACCCGGAGAATAAAACGCCGGGACCAGAAAGCGGCCTCATTTCCAGCACTGGGGGGTTGCACCCCCCCCCCCCCCTACATGGGCGAGGGTTAAGAGTCATGAAGATACTAATGCGATGTGAGCTGCTAGCTTAGAAGCACATTTTCAGGTAATATAGCTAAAAACAACATCATAGATATTATCCCGCGCACCGACGGGGGGGCGGATATCCGCCCCCCCCCTGAGGTTTTTCGCGAATAGCGGGAAAATCGCGGCGCGTAGCGCCGCGAAATTTCGTACGACTCTTCCGTCATCAATTTTACACATGGTGTGCAAGTTTGAACCTCCTACCTGTCAAGGTCAGGTCACCAGGTTACTTTGAATGACACAACCTCAAGTCACTTTTTTTGCAAATTTGTCACCGTGCCAGAGCTACAGTAGATGTCGGAGGCCTTTGAAAGTCGTAGGATGTTATTAGATCATCATTAGCTACAATTTGTATATCTCGGAATTTTGATATCGGTGACCTAAGGTCAGGTCAATTTCGCGACCTCCACATTATAAGTCAATGGGGGAAACATCAACTCCCTGTTTTTACCACTAAAACGGGTCGGAATGGCCCCATATACCATAACGACTTCATATACCTTGACTTCATATACCTCAGTCCTTACTGATTTTTGAACTCGGCCTTCGGCCTCGTTCAAACATTCAGTAAGGACCTCGGTCTTGAAAATTTATTTACACCGGCCTCGTTCAGTATTATATAGTACCGACCTACTACCTATACACTGATCAAAAGCTAGTTTTACCAACAGAAAAGTCGACGACCGCCGTGTGTTTATTTTTAGCTTGAAGTTGCCACCAATTTCAGTAATCACGCGACAAAATACCGCTGATGTCAAGATCTATCAATCAGCTGGCTGCTTACTACATAAGGCGTTATTATTCTTGCGACCAGTGACACGTGTTGGTGACATTTTGATTTAAAGATGACCGTATCGTTCGGTGCTGAATCGGCCGCTAACGGCTTTCTGTCGCTAAAACCTATTCTGTTTCCGCGTTTCTGATGATGCTAAATGTTATCTGTGTGTTGGAAGGGCAACGGTCACTGACCAGTACTGTATGGTGTACGAATGTCACTTTAAATTATCTGATTGTCGTAGAACATTATCTAACGTCTTATGCCTATTCAAACATCGCTTATAATGTCTTACGAAACTTTCAGCAATATCACACTTGCACTGTTTGTCATGTCGACTCTCAGATATGCTTTATCTGAACATAACCTTTCATTATTTACCAATTACTGCTTTCTGCCGCTTGCCGAAAGCTCCAAAAGCTCTTAACGCTTTCTGACTGTTACGCGTTATCTTACCTTTACCATGGCGCTCCAACAGACGGTGACGCATCCAATATTTCTTTACAAAGAAACACCAAGAAAGCTCATCTATTTTCAATAGATATCGCATTACCGGGCTGGGAATCTAACCACTACCTTCCACCCACAGACGTCGGTCTCGCTCTCGGAGCAAGGACCGCTCCTCCCGCTCCCGACGCTCTCCCATCAGCCAATCATCGTCACGGAGAGAGCGGAGCAGAAGCGAGCGGAGCCAACGGTCCAGGAGCACGGAGCATAGGCGGAGCCGGAGCCGGAGCAGGTGAGAGAGGAGAGAGAGAGAGAGAGAGAGAGAGAGAGAGAGAGAGAGAGAGAGAGAGAGAGAGAGAGAGTGAGAGACGGGGCAGAGGGGGAGGGTGTTGCAGTTGCAATAATCGTCGCCATTGTAGCTACTGTATGATACCTATTGTTTTGGAGCCGATGAAAACCGATGAAAGCCGATCGAGGGTACTGAAAGTTTCGTTCGTCGCGATCGGCCGCTTTTTACGCGAGTTATTCGCGAAAAACCGAGGGGGGTCCGTTCGACCCCCCCCTTTACGGGGGAGGGTTAAAACAGTCCCCCATTTGATCTTATTAGATCTCATTTTTAACCGCGCCCCAGTGGCGGTCTCAGCCAACTTCGCCCTAGTGGGGAGGGGGCATATGTTACCACCCACCTCTAACTCAAAAACTAAGAGGGCTAGAAAGACGCGGTAAAAAGCAGTCGATAGCTCTCAGTGCGTAGGTTTGAAAGTATATAGTCATTTTTCATCTTAGAGCAATATTGCAGTCACCAGAGGTCATCAAAGGTCAAAATTCGCCAATGGTCATTATATATTTTAGAAAACACGCCGCTATCTCAGGAACTATGGTAGCTAGACATACGCATGGAAAAGCAATTGAAAGCTTAGCTTTTGAACTCTTCTTTTGATAAGTATATTATCAAAATTGACCTCAGGTCGAAGGATTAGCCATCAGGGGGCAAAAACTCCAAAAATAGCTGTTTTTACGAAATGTGATTTCGACAATTACTTTCGACTACAAAAAGCCACGACATTTCTATTGCCAGAAACGTGTTCCTCTCGCCGAGACGCGTCGAATGAACTGTAATTTGACCTTGAAAAGTCAACTTGAAAATTTGACCTCAGGTCAAGGTCATGACCTGACCGAAAAAGGTCATGTTGCATATCAGTCGATCCTCAACGTCGAGCCTACCACAGCTAAGGCGTTTTCAGCGCCCTAGCACGCCTCTATCAGAAGTTATTAGCGAAAAACTGTTAGATTCTGTTCGTGACCTGAGATGACCTCGGGGACATAACGAGGGGTCACAGTTGCCATTTTCCGGGTCAGTTTGTCAATTTTACCCACATCTAGATGTTTGAGAGTGTCTAGAATAGCGTTCGTGCAAAACAGACGCTTTTCAATTTTTTCCCATTGACTTATAATGGAGAGACCGCAAAATTTACCTGACCGTAGGTCACAGATATGGAAACTCCGAGATATACATTTTATAGATAATGTTGCTCTAATCAATCGCTGAAAGTTTCAAGGCAATCGATCAATCGGTGTAGCTATGACTAGCATTCTTATTTTTCTGAGGTGAGGTCACTTGGCGTGACCTAGTGACCTGACCTAAGGTGACCTGGGTCTGAAATTTTAACAACATGTGCGGAAAAGATGCACGAACAGGTGTGCCAAAAACGCCGCCATTTTTAAGATACCTATCTGCGAAAAACCGCACACCCCCAGCCCGGCCCGGCGCGGGTTAATAACATGACAATCTTAATTCATATGGTCATCGTTCAGGCTTATTAGTTGTTACTCATATAGAATGTAGGGATTGTAATAAGAGCTAAGCAGTTTTTAATGAATAATTTGGTCAATTGATGTTGATTGTGAGAAAGTTTTTAACCCTGGCCCGTAAAGGGTGTTTTGCCACCTTCGCCCATGCAGGGGGGGGGGGGTTGGTGCGACCCCCCTGGCGTTTGAAAACGGAGCGTCGTAGAGCTTAGCGAAAAAGACCAGCGGATTGCTCTCAACAAGATCTCGCGAGCAGGGCTGGGAAAAATGCTGAATCTGCTACATACCAGATATTACGAGAAACTCTTATTAGCTACATTGCCACAAATGTTCCTCACATCATTTTTGCTAAAGAAAATGATTTTACATAGAAATTCTGGGCAGAACTTTCCACTACCATTTTCTATCTTTTCTCAAAATGAGCTTTAAATGTTTTGATTTAGTTGGCTGCACGCACAAAAAAAAAGATACAGTGTCTTGCTTCTGCCCCCTGTGAATGCTCTTTTTCTTATTTCTTACTCTTTGTAGGAAGCATACAAATACCAAAATAAGGTGCTGTGGAGTGTGGGGTTTTCTCAGGGCAAGTTCCAGCACCCCCTGGAGCACCAGGAAGCTCCAGTGAGCCCTAGAATTTTCCTATCAGCATCCCAGCACCTTTAGGATTCAGAGGCCTACTCAGGCAGAAAGTATTTGGAAGAAATCAGGTTGATTTGGCTAATCAGTCTGGTCAACAATTTACAATCATTGTGCATGCCGAACCCCCTGTACAAATGTTGCCAGTTGTCACTTATCAAGGTTTAGAGGTAACATTATAATTGAACAATCAAGAAGTAAATAAAATATTCTTTTCTGAGCGTTACTTGATCAATATTTCAATCAGATCTCACCTTCTGCGCAAATCCGATCATATCTCCCTAATCTTCACATCTTGCTTTGCGTGCTGGGCGGCTACCTTGCTCTTTAACTGGGTACTGCACGCCGCTATACGGACAGTTGTCATTACAGCACTTGAAATTAGGCCTGGAACATCCCACTTCCCTAAACTAGAGGCAAAATGAGAGATACACTTGCCGAAATGATGCAAAAACACCCAGAGAAACACTCATCAAAACCCATCAAACTAACCACGCGAAACGACAACTAGAATCGTCTCTAATGCGCCAGAAACAACGCATCAACCAAACACACAAACATAAATGATGTTTTTGTATATTTTTGTAAATGTTTCTTGATGTTACTTACAAAGAAGGTTCATTGGTGCTTTTAAACTCTTATTCTATTAAAATATGTAAAATTCAAAGAAAAAATACACTGGAAACTGACAAAAAAATATTATATGACGTCATTAAAAAGAATTAAAGACGTTGCAGGATACTGCTTCATAAAGATGGCTTTTTAGAGCTGTCATGGGCAGAATGAGTTGGTTCTTTTCGTATTTTTATTGCTCATTGAACAATTCCCTTTTTAGGACAATTTGTTTTGTTTCGTAAATATGTCCCTGAAATATTTCACAAATAATAAAATTCCTTTTTGCAATATTTATAAGAAAGATAGCGCATAAAAAGGCGTAGCAGATACCTTTAGCTATACGACTCAGAGTATGAAGAATTAATGATTGCTACACTGGAAACTGCTACAAAGAGCGGCCAGATTCGTCATAAAATGGAGCACAAAGCTGACGTTTTGCGCTTGTGTTGGTTTTACAGATGTTTTGTTCATATTCGCCGACGAGATCACTGACCGGTGGTACCTCTTTTTCGAAAATGTGCGAATTTTGATGTTTTTATTGTATTTTTCTTTATGATCTACGGAAGAGAGAAATGCTGATTTTGCTACAATTGATGGAACAATAAACCGATATCTGCTTCCTACTGGGGTATGAAAGTATGAGGGATTTCCCAGCCCTGCTCGCGAGTGGTGGTATATTTTTTGGTCCTAGGTCAACTTTTGACCTACTTATGACCGGTCAAAAGTAAAATTTTCGGAAAAATCTAACTTTTTTCAGATTTCCGCGCCGATTGCGGCAAAACGGTAAGAGATATCAACTTGAAACCTTCACTATCGTGATCCTTGATCAATTCTCTATCGCTTGGTGTGTATTTCGATCTCATAACTCTAAAAATGATGCGTTGGGAGCATCGGAAGTCTACAAGGTCAATTGTGCATTGGGTCACGTCAGGCGTGTGACGTCACTGACCTGACCCTGACCCAAAATGAACTACAAGAAACAACCGACGATGCCAAAAATGGATAGCAAATTCGAATTCAGGGCATCAAAATACCCGGAAAAGGCATACAAGTGCAAAAAGTCATAACAGGTCAACCGAGGTCACTGACCTTACCTTGACCTTAAGTAACCTTCAAAATGTCAACGGACATTGTGCCAATGTCAAATCAGCCAGTTGTGATTCTAAAACAATCCATCGGTGGGTCAGGTCAGTCGGCATTTATACCAATGTGAAGCAATCTCCAATTTAGCGTAAATCTGGCCGGAGGTTGTTCCCTTTATGACGTCATAACTCCGTGACCTGACATGACCCTGACAAAAAATACCAAAAGCTGCGCAAAGGATGCCCCAGAGGGTACTGAAAATTTGAGCAGGCTATCTGAAACGGTTCGGCGTGTAGCTAAGAAAGACCTCAGGGGGGGGGGGGGGGCAGTGCTGGAAATGAGGCCGCTTTCTGATCCCGGCGTTTTATTCTCCGGGTGGGTTACCCCCATCTAGCGCTTAGCCTTTCGGGACCCTCTCAGGTTCGCGGCTGTTTTTCACCGCTCGGCTCATTCAAGATGCAAAGTTGACACTCCCACGAAGTTCATTTGGGGCATCTTAATATACGACTCCGAAATTAATCGATTCTACAAAACCTTTTTCTTTCATCAATATGTATACATTTAACAGTAACTCCAGACTAGGCTGGTTTGGCTGGCCCTAAATAAGCTTCGTTTGACTATTAACTTTGCATCTCGACTGGGGCGAGCGGCGAAAACAACCGCGACCCTGAGTGGGTCCCGAAAGGCTGAGCGCTAGATGGTGGTAACCCACCCGGAGAATAAAACGCCGGGACCAGAAAGCGGCCTCATTTCCAGCACTGGGGGGTTGCACCCCCCCCCCTACATGGGCGAGGGTTAAGAGTCATGAAGATACTAATGCGATGTGAGCTGCTAGCTTAGAAGCACATTTTCAGGTAATATAGCTAAAAACAACATCATAGATATTATCCCGCGCACCGACGGGGGGGCGGATATCCGCCCCCCCCTGAGGTTTTTCGCGAATAGCGGGAAAATCGCGGCGCGTAGCGCCGCGAAATTTCGTACGACTCTTCCGTCATCAATTTTACACATGGTGTGCAAGTTTGAACCTCCTACCTGTCAAGGTCAGGTCACCAGGTTACTTTGAATGACACAACCTCAAGTCACTTTTTTGCAAATTTGTCACCGTGCCAGAGCTACAGTAGATGTCGGAGGCCTTTGAAAGTCGTAGGATGTTATTAGATCATCATTAGCTACAATTTGTATATCTCGGAATTTTGATATCCCGCGCCCCACTGGGGTCTGTGTATAACACGCCCTACTGGGGGGGGGGGGGCTATTCATAGCCCCCCCTCCTAACTCCGAAACTACTGGGCCGATCGTCAAAATTCAAACGGCGTCTGATAGCCCCGGAAAAACTGTCGAGCGAAACCTAATTTCATTGACCTCGAGGTCACCGATGACGTCAAAGGTCAGGTCAAAGTAAAAATTATTAACACTTTGGCTTGTTCACATTTTGGGCTCTGGCCGCCGTCTTGCAAGTCAGATCAGGCTCATTTTTGGTTTCCACACTCGTGAACAGATGCTCTAGATACCTTGAGGGTACCAAACTTGTACCTTGATTTTCAGGTCAGGGTCAGGTCATCACAGGTCACGAAAATATTATATCATGCGTCGGTCACGTGACACATGTTTTATGGTCCATTTAGGCCATAGATCTCGAATTTGATGTCGTCTGTGTCATTCGAGGTCATTTTGAGTCGAATTTAGCTTAGGTCAGGTCATTTTCAGGTCAAAAAAGGTCAAATTTTGAAGTTAAAATTTTTCAACAAAAAAGGTGTCTATTGGATGCAGTTTGAGCTCAGAAACACGATGGTGCCATTTATATTGGTGTACGATGTCAAATACGTACTGAAAAATTGATTTGAAAAATTGATAATTGTGAATTTTTTGCAATAATGCGTATAACTTGGTCATTTTTGAAGATATTTAGCTAAAACTTGCTAGAGTTAGTCATAATAATGCGTTCTGTCACATATATTCCGGTTTTTTCGAAAAGCCAAAAACTTTTTGAAAAAAATATAAGAATATAAATTTTGAATATTATTATATAAAATTTTCAAAATTTTCAAAATTTTGAAAATCCGAGATAGCAGTTTGATAGCGCGGTCAATTCTGAGTCCTTTCATGCAAAGAAATTGGATCTAGCTTAAAAACTGAGCTCTTGGGAGCGATTGCCGTGGTTCAATGTTTTGCGTCGAAATCGGACGAACATGACGTCACTCTGACGTCATTTCCGGCCGACCTATGGTAGCTACGAAGTTCAAATTTTAACACAAGGTGTCAAATTGATGCAGCCGAAGGTACTGAAAGTTTGGCGCCGATCCGTCAAGCGGTTTGGAAGTTATTGCAGAAAAACGGGAGGGGGGGCTATAAATAGCCCCCCCCAGTGGGGCGCGGGATATCGGTGACCTAAGGTCAGGTCAATTTCGCGACCTCCACATTATAAGTCAATGGGGGAAACATCAACTCCCTGTTTTTACCACTAAAACGGGTCGGAATGGCCCCATATACCACCAGTATAACGCCTTTTGGGGCGACTAACGGAGCGAGCGAGAGGGTGGGCCTTGCACGTGCGAAATTGCGAGGGGGTACCTCCAACTGACTTGTGCACGGCACCCTACTAACCGGTCTCTAGCGATGTGCCAAATTTGGGCACAATCGGCCCAGCCGTTCTCGAGATCTGGAAGCGGCACCCTGCACGTGCGCACGTGCAAAATGGGTCCCAACTGACTTGTGCACGGCACCCTACTAACCGGTCCCTAACTGTGTACCAAATTTGAGCGCAATCGGTCGAGCCGTTCTCGAGATCTGGAAACGACCCCTGCACGTGCGCACGTGCAGCAGCACCCCAACTCTGGCACATGAATATGTAGTGCCTAGTGGGTGCCCACCTACATGCCAACTTTCAGCGCAATCGGCCAAGTAGTTACCGAGATATTGCAACAATTACAAAAGTGACACCTCTTCGTTTTGCACGTGGCACGTGCATAAGGGGTCACCCACATGCATCAGGAATAGTCCAATACTTGGTAGAAGGAATGAAGCTACCCTACAAAATTTACCGCATGTAAATCGGTCAAGTGGTTGCTGAGATATAAGCCTCGCAAAAGCGTGACCACGCGGCCGCTCATACTCAGAAATTTCCGTTAATCTAAGGAAAGACTACGCTCGCTTCGCTCGCTCCGTAATAACGACTTCATATACCTTGACTTCATATACCTCAGTCCTTACTGATTTTTGAACTCGGCCTTCGGCCTCGTTCAAACATTCAGTAAGGACCTCGGTCTTGAAAATTTATTTACACCGGCCTCGTTCAGTATTATATAGTACCGACCTACTACCTATACACTGATCAAAAGCTAGTTTTACACTGAAAACTTTTTTACCATTTCCTGAAGGGTAAACCCGCCATAGCATGGTAGCTTGACACACAGACGTTTTTTACCACCTTCCAGATGGTAAATTTTACTCTTTCATGAAGAGTAAACTCGCCAGGGAGGGGTAACATGACACACAGACGTTTTTTACCATATTCTGAATGGTAAACTCTTTTGATTTACTCTTGTCTAGAGTGTAACATTTTTTGGGTTACACTCTTTGAAAGGGTAAATCTTTAACGGAACCCTTTTTTAGGGAGTAACGCATCATCTACTCTGTGCTTTACCCTCCTACAGAGAGTATATTCTTATGGCCTACCCTTTGTCACATGGTAATGTTTACTCTTTCCTTTAGTGTAAACCCCCCAGAGGATGGTAACAGACCCACAGACGCTTCCTTCAGAAGCTTCACGAAGCTTCTGTTCACCGGAGCTCACCAACTAAAAAAAAAATGTTTCAAGAGCAACAATGTAGGTATATTTGGCTTCCGTACAAACAATACGAGGGGCACACCAACCATGAACATTGTGAGACTCTTCACTTATTCATACAAATTTATACAAAGCGTTCAGCAATGCACAAGCGGTAAATAAACACCACGATACAACTTGAATGCAATTTGAATATGAATACAAGACATTCAGCGCCCTCATATTGGATAAGGCACAGCGCACAATATTTGAAGTGAGCGACGGCGTTCCTGGGTGGTCGCCCGTCTGCGTGAGATAATGAGACTGGATCACTACAGTGCAAGGCTTTTTCAAAGTCACCAACAAAATGCATAAACTTGTAGCATCACAACAAAATTAATGTACGTACTCACAACACTAGGCCACGTGGCCGTGCACGGGGTCCTGTTAACCAGGTCAAATTAGCACCACTCAACGGCACGCAATGCTCTTAGCACATCGGTACTTACAATAAAATGTCCACAGAGGCTCTATAGGCGATGAACAACACACAAGCACAATCACCAACGGCCACGCCGCGCGGCACCGACACTGCTCACATCCGCTCTCGGAGACCAACGGCCGAAAACTGACAGATGCGCGCGGCCTTCAAACCGCAAACGGCCGATCTCGTTTCTGATTGGCTGATTGTTTCCATTTCAAATATCATCTTCTCGAGGGTAAACAAGGTCCACGCATGAAACGACTATCTGTACCCGAGTCACGATACCCAGGAGGAAAGAGTTTTCGTGATGTTCTGGATCGCGAGAGTAATATTGATATTTACATGGTAATAATACTCTTCGCTGGCGAATAAGTTCATATTAACCACGTACCGTTACTATGCACATAATGGTAGCAGCGAGTTACCCTTTCAATATACTATTATCTTGCGGGTTTGATGAAAATGAACTCTCCAGGAGGTAGTAAAAAAGTTTTGAGTGTACCAACAGAAAAGTCGACGACCGCCGTGTGTTTATTTTTAGCTTGAAGTTGCCACCAATTTCAGTAATCACGCGACAAAATACCGCTGATGTCAAGATCTATCAATCAGCTGGCTGCTTACTACATAAGGCGTTATTATTCTTGCGACCAGTGACACGTGTTGGTGACATTTTGATTTAAAGATGACCGTATCGTTCGGTGCTGAATCGGCCGCTAACGGCTTTCTGTCGCTAAAACCTATTCTGTTTCCGCGTTTCTGATGATGCTAAATGTTATCTGTGTGTTGGAAGGGCAACGGTCACTGACCAGTACTGTATGGTGTACGAATGTCACTTTAAATTATCTGATTGTCGTAGAACATTATCTAACGTCTTATGCCTATTCAAACATCGCTTATAATGTCTTACGAAACTTTCACCAATATCACACTTGCACTGTTTGTCATGTCGACTCTCAGATATGCTTTATCTGAACATAACCTTTCATTATTTACCAATTACTGCTTTCTGCCGCTTGCCGAAAGCTCCAAAAGCTCTTAACGCTTTCTGACTGTTACGCGTTATCTTACCTTTACCATGGCGCTCCAACAGACGGTGACGCATCCAATATTTCTTTACAAAGAAACACCAAGAAAGCTCATCTATTTTCAATAGATATCGCATTACCGGGCTGGGAATCTAACCACTACCTTCCACCCACAGACGTCGGTCTCGCTCTCGGAGCAAGGACCGCTCCTCCCGCTCCCGACGCTCTCCCATCAGCCAATCATCGTCACGGAGAGAGCGGAGCAGAAGCGAGCGGAGCCAACGGTCCAGGAGCACGGAGCATAGGCGGAGCCGGAGCCGGAGCAGGTGAGAGAGGAGAGAGAGAGAGAGAGAGAGAGAGAGAGAGAGAGAGAGAGAGAGTGAGAGACGGGGCAGAGGGGGAGGGTGTTGCAGTTGCAATAATCGCCGCCATAGTAGCTACTGTATGATACCTATTGTTTTGGAGCCGATGAAAACCGATGAAAGCCGATCGAGGGTACTGAAAGTTTCGTTCGTCGCGATCGGCCGCTTTTTACGCGAGTTATTCGCGAAAAACCGAGGGGGGTCCGTTCGACCCCCCCCCCCCCTTTACGGGGGAGGGTTAAAACAGTCCCCCATTTGATCTTATTAGATCTCATTTTTAACCGCGCCCCAGTGGCGGTCTCAGCCAACTTCGCCCTAGTGGGGAGGGGGCATATGTTACCACCCACCTCTAACTCAAAAACTAAGAGGGCTAGAAAGACGCGGTAAAAAGCAGTCGATAGCTCTCAGTGCGTAGGTTTGAAAGTATATAGTCATTTTTCATCTTAGAGCAATATTGCAGTCACCAGAGGTCATCAAAGGTCAAAATTCGCCAATGGTCATTATATATTTTAGAAAACACGCCGTTATCTCAGGAACTATGGTAGCTAGACATACGCATGGAAAAGCAATTGAAAGCTTAGCTTTTGAACTCTTCTTTTGATAAGTATATTATCAAAATTGACCTCAGGTCGAAGGATTAGCCATCAGGGGGCAAAAACTCCAAAAATAGCTGTTTTTACGAAATGTGATTTCGACAATTACTTTCGACTACAAAAAGCCACGACATTTCTATTGCCAGAAACGTGTTCCTCTCGCCGAGACGCGTCGAATGAACTGTAATTTGACCTTGAAAAGTCAACTTGAAAATTTGACCTCAGGTCAAGGTCATGACCTGACCGAAAAAGGTCATGTTGCATATCAGTCGATCCTCAACGTCGAGCCTACCACAGCTAAGGCGTTTTCAGCGCCCTAGCACGCCTCTATCAGAAGTTATTAGCGAAAAACTGTTAGATTCTGTTCGTGACCTGAGATGACCTCGGGGACATAACGAGGGGTCACAGTTGCCATTTTCCGGGTCAGTTTGTCAATTTTACCCACATCTAGATGTTTGAGAGTGTCTAGAATAGCGTTCGTGCAAAACAGACGCTTTTCAATTTTTTCCCATTGACTTATAATGGAGAGACCGCAAAATTTACCTGACCGTAGGTCACAGATATGGAAACTCCGAGATATACATTTTATAGATAATGTTGCTCTAATCAATCGCTGAAAGTTTCAAGGCAATCGATCAATCGGTGTAGCTATGACTAGCATTCTTATTTTTCTGAGGTGAGGTCACTTGGCGTGACCTAGTGACCTGACCTAAGGTGACCTGGGTCTGAAATTTTAACCCTCGCCCTGGCAGGGGGGGGTCGATGCGACCCCCCCCTAAGGTTTTTCGAAGATAGCGTAAAAACGGCGGCGCGCAGCGCCGCCAAATTTGGCACAGCCTATGGGGCAACCTTTTTACATATGACCTGAAAATGTCAGGTCCCGGTGACCTTAGGTCAGGTCACCAGGTCAGAAAAACCGGTACAAGGTCATGGTCAAATTTCAAATTTCTTATTGCACCTGTCCAACTCACAGTTTTGCACTGATTTCCTTCAAACTTTCAGGATGTGCTAAGTTCACCAAGTTGTATAACATATAGTTCGGGTTTTTTGAGGTCACTGACCTGAGGTCAGTTAGAGGTCATTACGTCGTAATGTTAAGCCTATGGGAAAATACTAAATTCGGAAAATACTGGAGATATCCGCTTCGTTCTATCACTTTTGTGCTTTGAAACCACAGTACTTAGCAGCAGGTCACTTGCTGCTTCTTTGTTTGGTGTACTTATCCATGGGTCAGGTCAAATGAGGTCAACTGAGGTCAAATGACGTTTTTGCCAATAACTTGGCACATAATGACGCTAGAGCTTAAAAAATGGTACCATTGTGTTCCTGGTGATCAGCCGAATCGAATGATATGCGATATGATGCAATTTGGTTAACTTTAACTTAATTTATTAATTTAAGTTTACTTAGAATTTAAGAAAAACTTTAAGTACACTTAAGCAAGCTAAAAAGTATATCATTCGACGCGCATTGACGTGCTGAGTTCACTGGTGCTTTTCTTTTTGCTCTATCTTAATTAGATCAAAAGTTATAAGCGAAAAACTTTTGACCTGTTTTTAGCGAAATTTTTACATTTATACCCCCCAAAACCCCCCTAAATATTGACCTAGAGCAACCAAATTTGCACAGGGGTGAGAACTCCAGGGGGCCCACCTACCTACCGAATTTGGTGTTTCTAGGTGCCATAGGAGCCAATCGCGAGGGGGGGGGGGTCGCATCGACCCCACCCTGCCAGGCCGTGTTATGAAAAATGCCCTGCCAGGGCGAGGGTTAACAACATGTGCGGAAAAGATGCACGAACAGGTGTGCCAAAAACGCCGCCATTTTTAAGATACCTATCTGCGAAAAACCGCAGGGGGTGTTCAAACACCCCCAGCCCGGCCCGGCGCGGGTTAATAACATGACAATCTTAATTCATATGGTCATCGTTCAGGCTTATTAGTTGTTACTCATATAGAATGTAGGGATTGTAATAAGAGCTAAGCAGTTTTTAATGAATAATTTGGTCAATTGATGTTGATTGTGAGAAAGTTTTTAACCCTGGCCCGTAAAGGGTGTTTTGCCACCTTCGCCCATGCAGGGGGGGGGGGGGGTTGGTGCGACCCCCCTGGCGTTTGAAAACGGAGCGTCGTAGAGCTTAGCGAAAAAGACCAGCGGATTGCTCTCAACAAGATCTCGCGAGCAGGGCTGGGAAAAATGCTGAATCTGCTACATACCAGATATTACGAGAAACTCTTATTAGCTACATTGCCACAAATGTTCCTCACATCATTTTTGCTAAAGAAAATGATTTTACATAGAAATTCTGGGCAGAACTTTCCACTACCATTTTCTATCTTTTCTCAAAATGAGCTTTAAATGTTTTGATTTAGTTGGCTGCACGCACAAAAAAAGATACAGTGTCTTGCTTCTGCCCCCTGTGAATGCTCTTTTTCTTATTTCTTACTCTTTGTAGGAAGCATACAAATACCAAAATAAGGTGCTGTGGAGTGTGGGGTTTTCTCAGGGCAAGTTCCAGCACCCCCTGGAGCACCAGGAAGCTCCAGTGAGCCCTAGAATTTTCCTATCAGCATCCCAGCACCTTTAGGATTCAGAGGCCTACTCAGGCAGAAAGTATTTGGAAGAAATCAGGTTGATTTGGCTAATCAGTCTGGTCAACAATTTACAATCATTGTGCATGCCGAACCCCCTGTACAAATGTTGCCAGTTGTCACTTATCAAGGTTTAGAGGTAACATTATAATTGAACAATCAAGAAGTAAATAAAATATTCTTTTCTGAGCGTTACTTGATCAATATTTCAATCAGATCTCACCTTCTGCGCAAATCCGATCATATCTCCCTAATCTTCACATCTTGCTTTGCGTGCTGGGCGGCTACCTTGCTCTTTAACTGGGTACTGCACGCCGCTATACGGACAGTTGTCATTACAGCACTTGAAATTAGGCCTGGAACATCCCACTTCCCTAAACTAGAGGCAAAATGAGAGATACACTTGCCGAAATGATGCAAAAACACCCAGAGAAACACTCATCAAAACCCATCAAACTAACCACGCGAAACGACAACTAGAATCGTCTCTAATGCGCCAGAAACAACGCATCAACCAAACACACAAACATAAATGATGTTTTTGTATATTTTTGTAAATGTTTCTTGATGTTACTTACAAAGAAGGTTCATTGGTGCTTTTAAACTCTTATTCTATTAAAATATGTAAAATTCAAAGAAAAAATACACTGGAAACTGACAAAAAATATTATATGACGTCATTAAAAAGAATTAAAGACGTTGCAGGATACTGCTTCATAAAGATGGCTTTTTAGAGCTGTCATGGGCAGAATGAGTTGGTTCTTTTCGTATTTTTATTGCTCATTGAACAATTCCCTTTTTAGGACAATTTGTTTTGTTTCGTAAATATGTCCCTGAAATATTTCACAAATAATAAAATTCCTTTTTGCAATATTTATAAGAAAGATAGCGCATAAAAAGGCGTAGCAGATACCTTTAGCTATACGACTCAGAGTATGAAGAATTAATGATTGCTACACTGGAAACTGCTACAAAGAGCGGCCAGATTCGTCATAAAATGGAGCACAAAGCTGACGTTTTGCGCTTGTGTTGGTTTTACAGATGTTTTGTTCATATTCGCCGACGAGATCACTGACCGGTGGTACCTCTTTTTCGAAAATGTGCGAATTTTGATGTTTTTATTGTATTTTTCTTTATGATCTACGGAAGAGAGAAATGCTGATTTTGCTACAATTGATGGAACAATAAACCGATATCTGCTTCCTACTGGGGTATGAAAGTATGAGGGATTTCCCAGCCCTGCTCGCGAGTGGTGGTATATTTTTTGGTCCTAGGTCAACATTTGACCTACTTATGACCGGTCAAAAGTAAAATTTTCGGAAAAATCTAACTTTTTTCAGATTTCCGCGCCGATTGCGGCAAAACGGTAAGAGATATCAACTTGAAACCTTCACTATCGTGATCCTTGATCAATTCTCTATCGTTTGGTGTGTATTTCGATCTCATAACTCTAAAAATGATGCGTTGGGAGCATCGGAAGTCTACAAGGTCAATTGTGCATTGGGTCACGTCAGGCGTGTGACGTCACTGACCTGACCCTGACCCAAAATGAACTACAAGAAACAACCGACGATGCCAAAAATGGATAGCAAATTCGAATTCAGGGCATCAAAATACCCGGAAAAGGCATACAAGTGCAAAAAGTCATAACAGGTCAACCGAGGTCACTGACCTTACCTTGACCTTAAGTAACCTTCAAAATGTCAACGGACATTGTGCCAATGTCAAATCAGCCAGTTGTGATTCTAAAACAATCCATCGGTGGGTCAGGTCAGTCGGCATTTATACCAATGTGAAGCAATCTCCAATTTAGCGTAAATCTGGCCGGAGGTTGTTCCCTTTATGACGTCATAACTCCGTGACCTGACATGACCCTGACAAAAAATACCAAAAGCTGCGCAAAGGATGCCCCAGAGGGTACTGAAAATTTGAGCAGGCTATCTGAAACGGTTCGGCGTGTAGCTAAGAAAGACCTCAGGGGGGGGGGGGCAGTGCTGGAAATGAGGCCGCTTTCTGATCCCGGCGTTTTATTCTCCGGGTGGGTTACCCCCATCTAGCGCTTAGCCTTTCGGGACCCTCTCAGGTTCGCGGCTGTTTTTCACCGCTCGGCTCATTCAAGATGCAAAGTTGACACTCCCACGAAGTTCATTTGGGGCATCTTAATATACGACTCCGAAATTAATCGATTCTACAAAACCTTTTTCTTTCATCAATATGTATACATTTAACAGTAACTCCAGACTAGGCTGGTTTGGCTGGCCCTAAATAAGCTTCGTTTGACTATTAACTTTGCATCTCGACTGGGGCGAGCGGCGAAAACAACCGCGACCCTGAGTGGGTCCCGAAAGGCTGAGCGCTAGATGGTGGTAACCCACCCGGAGAATAAAACGCCGGGACCAGAAAGCGGCCTCATTTCCAGCACTGGGGGGTTCCACCCCCCCCCCCCCTACATGGGCGAGGGTTAAGAGTCATGAAGATACTAATGCGATGTGAGCTGCTAGCTTAGAAGCACATTTTCAGGTAATATAGCTAAAAACAACATCATAGATATTATCCCGCGCACCGACGGGGGGGCGGATATCCGCCCCCCCCCCCCTGAGGTTTTTCGCGAATAGCGGGAAAATCGCGGCGCGTAGCGCCGCGAAATTTCGTACGACTCTTCCGTCATCAATTTTACACATGGTGTGCAAGTTTGAACCTCCTACCTGTCAAGGTCAGGTCACCAGGTTACTTTGAATGACACAACCTCAAGTCACTTTTTTGCAAATTTGTCACCGTGCCAGAGCTACAGTAGATGTCGGAGGCCTTTGAAAGTCGTAGGATGTTATTAGATCATCATTAGCTACAATTTGTATATCTCGGAATTTTGATATCGGTGACCTAAGGTCAGGTCAATTTCGCGACCTCCACATTATAAGTCAATGGGGGAAACATCAACTCCCTGTTTTTACCACTAAAACGGGTCGGAATGGCCCCATATACCATAACGACTTCATATACCTTGACTTCATATACCTCAGTCCTTACTGATTTTTGAACTCGGCCTTCGGCCTCGTTCAAACATTCAGTAAGGACCTCGGTCTTGAAAATTTATTTACACCGGCCTCGTTCAGTATTATATAGTACCGACCTACTACCTATACACTGATCAAAAGCTAGTTTTACCAACAGAAAAGTCGACGACCGCCGTGTGTTTATTTTTAGCTTGAAGTTGCCACCAATTTCAGTAATCACGCGACAAAATACCGCTGATGTCAAGATCTATCAATCAGCTGGCTGCTTACTACATAAGGCGTTATTATTCTTGCGACCAGTGACACGTGTTGGTGACATTTTGATTTAAAGATGACCGTATCGTTCGGTGCTGAATCGGCCGCTAACGGCTTTCTGTCGCTAAAACCTATTCTGTTTCCGCGTTTCTGATGATGCTAAATGTTATCTGTGTGTTGGAAGGGCAACGGTCACTGACCAGTACTGTATGGTGTACGAATGTCACTTTAAATTATCTGATTGTCGTAGAACATTATCTAACGTCTTATGCCTATTCAAACATCGCTTATAATGTCTTACGAAACTTTCACCAATATCACACTTGCACTGTTTGTCATGTCGACTCTCAGATATGCTTTATCTGAACATAACCTTTCATTATTTACCAATTACTGCTTTCTGCCGCTTGCCGAAAGCTCCAAAAGCTCTTAACGCTTTCTGACTGTTACGCGTTATCTTACCTTTACCATGGCGCTCCAACAGACGGTGACGCATCCAATATTTCTTTACAAAGAAACACCAAGAAAGCTCATCTATTTTCAATAGATATCGCATTACCGGGCTGGGAATCTAACCACTACCTTCCACCCACAGACGTCGGTCTCGCTCTCGGAGCAAGGACCGCTCCTCCCGCTCCCGACGCTCTCCCATCAGCCAATCATCGTCACGGAGAGAGCGGAGCAGAAGCGAGCGGAGCCAACGGTCCAGGAGCACGGAGCATAGGCGGAGCCGGAGCCGGAGCAGGTGAGAGAGGAGAGAGAGAGAGAGAGAGAGAGAGAGAGAGAGAGAGAGAGAGAGAGAGAGAGAGAGAGAGAAAGAGAAAGAGAGAGAGAGAGAGAGAGAGAGAGAGAGAGAGAGAGAGAGAGAGAGAGGCGGGGCAGAGGGGGAGGGTGTTGCAGTTACAATAATCGTCGCCATTGTAGCTACTGTATGATACCTATTGTTTTGGAGCCGATGAAAACCGATGAAAGCCGATCGAGGGTACTGAAAGTTTCGTTCGTCGCGATCGGCCGCTTTTTACGCGTGTTATTCGCGAAAAACCGAGGGGGGTCCGTTCGACCCCCCTATACGGGGGAGGGTTAAAACAGTCCCCCATTTGATCTTATTAGATCTCATTTTTAACCGCGCCCCAGTGGCGGTCTCAGCCAACTTCGCCCTAGTGGGGAGGGGGCATATGTTACCACCCACCTCTAACTCAAAAACTAAGAGGGCTAGAAAGACGCGGTAAAAAGCAGTCGATAGCTCTCAGTGCGTAGGTTTGAAAGTATATAGTCATTTTTCATCTTAGAGCAATATTGCAGTCACCAGAGGTCATCAAATGTCAAAATTCGCCAATGGTCATTATATATTTTAGAAAACACGCCGTTACCTCAGGAACTATGGTAGCTAGACAAACGCATGGAAAAGCAATTGAAAGCTTAGCTTTTGAACTCTTCTTTTGATGAGTTCATTATCAAAATTGACCTCAGGTCGAAGGTTTAGCCATCAGGGGGCAAAAACTCCAAAAATAGCTGTTTTTACGAAATGTGATTTCGACAATAACTTTCGACTACAAAAAGCCACGACATTTCTATTGCCAGAAACGTGTTCCTCTCGCCGAGACGCGTCGAATGAACTGTAATTTGACCTTGAAGTCAACTTGAAAATTTGACCTCAGGTCAAGGTCATGACCTGACCGAAAAAGGTCATGTTGCATATTAGTCGATGCGGCTCAACAAGACAAACACAATGAGACCATCCCCAGCGTTCTATCTCTTTTCAATCGCGAGTTATTGGCAAAAATCTGTTTATAGCCTCGAATGACCTCGGATGACCTTTCTAGAGGCTATCAGCAAAAATGACACCTTGGTCATCACGGATGGTCCAAATTATTGTGATTCTGAAATATTTGGACTGTTCCTATGCGTACACACGGATCTAGAGGCATTTTCATTTTTCTCTGTTGACTTGTAATGGAAAGTTTACGCCACTGACCTGACCCTAGGTCACGGATATAAAAAATCCGAGATATACAAATTGTAGGCGCCCATAACATCATGCAATCCACCAAGTTTAAAACCTTTCTGACAAACACTGCAGGCTGGACATGATTGCAAACTTGTTTAGGCTTGGTCAGTTAACTTGACCTGGTGACCTGACCTGACATGACCTGGGGTCAAAAATTTCACACATTGTCCAAAATTGATGTACCAAAGCTACCCCAAGCGGAGCGGCGCTACGCGCCGCGGTTTTTTATTCACACGCAAAATACGCGACACGGTGGTAACATATGCCCCCCCCCCCCCTCCACTGGGGCAAAGGTTAACCCTCGCCGGCACAGGCCATTTTGCATCCTTCGACGGCACAAGGGTGGTACGACCCCCCTCGCGTTTGGCCCCTGATCGAGCTAGAGCTTCGCGGTAAAAACGAGCGTGTTGCCCGTCACGAGAGGAAGCCGATGATACACAATTTTAAGGTCCTAGGTCATCGGGTGACCTTGCAGGTCAGGTCAATGACCCGAAAACGGGTGGCTATCAAAGCATACAAAAGCGCAGCGTACAATCCTCAAAACATACAAAATCGTAACATACAACGCGCAAAACCTACAAAACAGGCCAGGTAGGGGACAGCCCAAACGTACAAAAGCGCAGCGTACAAAATCCCAACGTACAAAAGTTTACCGTCCAATGGGTAAAGCGTACAATGGCAAATCAAACAATGATCAGAACGTACAAAATTGGAACGTACAATGGCAGATCAAACAAACGCGTATCATACAAAATTGCAACCTACAAAACGAGATGATCGTATCATACAAAATCACATCGTCTAAAATCGGAAGGTACAAAATGCCTCTGGTTGACGCCGGGTGAATTGATATTTAACAAGTCAGCCACCAGATGGGGTAATGGTGCTGTGGCAGTGGTTTTTTGGAAGCCACCAGGAAATAGAGTGGAATGCCACTAAGTCCCTTAGAAACACGATACCTCTGGACGCTGCACCGGCCGGCTATCGACGCTGCGGGCGGTCGGAGGGTGCCGAGGGGAAAGTTTCCGAGCAGGCGGGAGCACGATACCTCTGAACGCTGCACCGGCCGACTATCGACGCTGCGGGTGCCGCGGGGACCGGTGCCGAGCAGGCGACGAGGAGAAGCGGGCATCAAGACCGTGAGAAATCTATTATATTGGCGGGTGTGCTTATGTAGGTAAATGAGGCAAACGTGCATAGGTTAGGTATGTAACACCCTCATCTTTGATCACACACCCCTACCCACGCACTGGGGGGGGCTGTTTGAACAACCCCCCCGGTTTCTCGCGAATATCTAAAAAACGGCGGCTCAGAGTGCCGCCGTGTTTTGCACACCTTATCATACATCTTTTCTACGCCTTCTGTGAAAACTTCAGACCAAAGTCATCCAAGGTCAGGTCACCATATCACGTCAAGTGACCTTACTACATGAAAAAGTTTCAATGCCTGTCACAGCTACACCGAGTGACTGATCACCTTGAAACTTAGAGTAACTGATAAAACAACAGTATACGCAATACACATAATGTTAACAATAATAATAATAATGATACACAAAATGTATCTCTCGGAACTTCGATATCGGTGACCTAAGGTCAGGTCAATTTTGCGACCTCTCCATTATAAGTCAATGGGAGAAAATTGAAAGGCGCCTCTTTTGGCCGAACGTCATTCTAATCGCTTTCAAACATCGAATTACAAGTAGACATGACAAACTGAAACGGAAAATGGTACCCGTGACCCCTCTTAATGTCCCTGAGGTCATCTCAGGTCACGAATGGTATTCTACAGTTTTTCGCAAATAACTTTTGACAGAGACATGCTAGAGCGATGAAAAAACCTTATACGTATGTGTTTGGCTCGACAATACGGGTCGACTGATGCAGCATGACCTTTTCTGGTCAGGTCATGACATTGACCTGAGGTCATGACCTTGTCCTGAGGTCATGACCTTGACCTAAAGTAAATTTTTCAAGTTGAACTTTTTAGGTCAACTTATAGTTCTTTCGATGCGTCGCCTTGACGAGAGGAACACGATGCTGCTGAAAGTAAGCTCGTGCATGTTTTGAGTCAAAAGGTATTGCAGAAAAACAGTTCTCGCAAAAACCATCTACCTATTCTGGCAGTTTTTGGCCCCTGCAGGCTAAACCGTTCCTAAGCTATGCGCCGGTTTGTCGAAATTATCGAAGTTTGACCTGGAAAGTGGCTAAATTTTACCTTTGGTGACCTCTTTTGACCTGACCTTTGAGCTGACCTAAAAAGTGGCCGATATAATTTCTTCATTACTTCTGCCGCTCTTTCGAACGCCGCCTACGGCGTGACACTACGTGGCCCAGGAGCCGAGTGAGAAGGGGAGTGTTCACCCCCCCCCCCCAGTGCAGGTGGCGCCGAGCACCGCCCGGCGCCGGTTAGTCAATCGCATGGCGTTTAACATAACAGTACATCATCGGTGTTTAACCCGCGCCCTGCTGGGGGAGGGGGTGTTTGAACACCCTCCTGTGTTTTTTCACGAATAGGTATCTAAAAAAAAAAAAACGGCAGCGTGGAGCGCCGCCGTTTTTGGCACACCTTATAATACATTTTGTAGGGGAAGTTGGGGCAATGCCGGAGTTGGGGCAAAGCCGAAATTCGAGATATTTCTAAAACCGTACGACATGGATGCCACGTCTCAGTGATGCTCTGAAGCTTAAGTGACTACAATTATCGCATGTTTGTTACGAGTCGTCATTTGGAATACTTCGGCTGTGAGGGCGCCAAAAGCGTTTTCAAGGTACGTTTCCCTTGTACTACATGCGCCTTTGAAGCTGCATTTCTTACTCATTATGCTACCGTTTGTCTGGCCAATTCGGTCAAGTAATCTTCAGCATGTCTTTGCATAAGTGTGCTGCCTATTTGAAATTTAAACAGCACGTTTAAAAGTTATGGGCCTGCAAATGAAAGTATGGCTGGCTGGGGTAATGCCGAAAACGTGCAATTACGCACGTTAAAGCACGCTACGTGGACTTTACTGCTGTAGAATAGCAACGCGTATTTTTAGTCAAACAAATTACACTTTCAGCCGGCACAACGGCCTGTTACCTATAAGGAATGATTTACTTGGCATTTTCTTATTATATCACACAATTATAACTTCCAGTGTGCACCAAGCGTCCTCAAGCTCTTAAAACGCGTGTCAGCTTTGATGAATTTGGGATAAAGTTTGAGATAAATTGGCAAAACATCAAAGTCGGCATTCCTCGTAGATCATTTATCCCATTTTCGGCTTTCCCCGCAGTCCGGGGCAACGCCGAAAAAGTCAGTTCTTTGATATTTTTAGTTTTTGCGCTTAACGGTATGCGAATTCATCAAATGCGCCTGGTATGTTTGAAAGACAAAAGACTGGCCTCTCGAATGACGCCAACAAGAATAGCTTATGTTGTCTACCCTGCGTGCTACGGGCGTCAGAAAAAAAGTATTCGGCGTTCCCCCAACTTCCCCTACATACTATTGCTCTTAGCAATCGTTGAAACTTTCGAAGCGATCGGTCACTTGGTGTAGCTATGGCGGACATTGAAGCTTTTTATGAGGTGAGGTCACTTCAAGTTACCTGGTGACCTGACCTTAAATGACCTTGGTCTTAACCTTCCAGGCGGTGGGGGGGGGGCATTTTTTGCCCCCCTTTACTTTTTTCGATATATCTCGAGAACCGCTGCGCCGATCGTCACCAAACTTTCAGTACCCTCCCGGGAGCAGCTAGC